ATATTAAACTTAATTCGAATACGACGGATGATAGATAGGTATATATTATACAATTAGTGCTCGAGTTGTGGGAGGACACAAGGGACGGAGCTCCTCTTCATTTTTTTTTATGTTTTGAGAATACCTCTTCTGACTCTTCTAATTATTTTCATCTGAACGAGAGGAACGGGACGTTTTATTTTGTTGAAAATGTTAAAATAATATTGTAATTTTGTAATTTTTATTTCATAAATTTGTACCTATTCAATAAGATATTAAAAATTAAGTTTAATAATTTTTTTTTATGATGAATAATAATTTATAACACAGTTAAAGTTTCGAACTAAAATATAGTATTATATCTTAGTCTGAGATCAAAAATCTTTTATCTATTTATCATTATTTAATTCATGGTTAATTAATTTTGGTAATCGGTTAACTCAAAATAACCAAATGATATTATCATAGATAAACAACAATCATATAGCATATCATATTTCGATTTATATTTTTTCAGAATCACTAGTTTAAAATCCAATACAGTTATTTACTAAAAGATTTATATATATATATATTAGATCAAAACAATTGGCCTGACGATTGTAATATTCAATACAATGATAGTTTTGTTAAGTGATTAGTAAAAACATTTCAAGTTGACGAATATTCAACAATACGCAAATTCTGAGAATTTAAAGACACTAAAAATAAATTTTATATACATGATTTGGACCCTCTGCTAACTGCAATTAAGACAATTGCAATATCATTAAGTGAGTGTGAACGAGCTTTTAATTCTATCAACAATTTACCGACTACCATAATAAATACATTAAGTTCTACTCGTATTTATCCTCTCTTGTTTATAAATTGTATCGGATCTCCAGGTACAAAATTTTAAACCAAAAATCGTAAATATTGTCTCGGGCACGTGTAAGGTGTAGGGAAGAGATCTACTGAAGAAGAATGTTGTTCTAAAAGAAAATTTTGAAATAAATCACACTTACCAACAGCTATGAAGTTTAATTAAAGATTGTTTTAATGAATCACCTAATTAGTTAGAAATATTAATAACGTTAACCATTCAATTTTATTTTAATAAATGAAAAGAAAAAGAAAATTTATTGTAATAATTGATAAGTTTTACTTGTTTGGTGTATTAGATTTCAATTAACTATTGTTGAAGATAGTTATTCGAAGGGTGAAGGGGCAAGGCCCTACGCATTAGGCTGAGATTAATCATTGAAAAACGTTAATTTTTTATAAAGTCTAGAAGCCCCAGTTCCCCTTTTTTATTTTTCCAACTTGAGCACTGCGTAACCTTACTACATATGTTGTGAATTTTATAATTTAATCTCGTTTTCGTCAATCGGATTATTATATACGTCATATTTGTTGAATACGATTTCTCACGTCAAAGAGACAAAATAATAATATTATATTATATCGATTATAGTAGAAACACATTGCGTATATTATAATACTTATACATATTTTACAACGTTACATTTGTATACAAAACCGTGATACTATATTTTACCATTTTACCATACTGTTTATTTTCCACTATTATTAAAATGAGAAGTTGTCACCATTTTATTAATTTGAATAGGTATCTTAGGTACTTATCAATTTTTCCAAGAATAGGTACTGTTTTATATCATTTTATGCAACATGACGTCTGAACTTTAAATATAAAATAATTTCAATAAAAATAAATTTAGTAAATTATTAATTTATATAATTATCTAAAATTATAAATCCCTTTAATAAAATTTAACATACGAATTATCATCAATTTTTTAATACTATTAACATTATATATTTATGTTATTCTATTATTAAATTTATGTTATTGTTATGAATACTTATATACAAGAATACAAATCAAATAATTTCATACTTCAAACAGATAAAAAATATAACTTTGATAATTGAAAATTAATATATGTAAAGAAATAAAGAAACTATCTTTTTATTTTTTTGAAGAAAAATAAATAATAAAGAAAAACGGTGACTCATTTTTTAAAGCAAATAGTTCTACCTCTTTAGTGCACTGCCTACAATAGTATAGTTAGATAATTTTCGTTCATCGCAGTTTTTTATTACACTTTTTAACTGATCGCTATACTGCCGTGCTAAGCGAAAAAGCAGTATCTCCAATTTTGGTCGAAATTGAGATATTGCTACACGGGGTTAACAATGTGGTGTTGTACCATTTTTCGTAGTGAAAAAGCAGTATATCCAATATTTAACATTGAAAATGAGCATTTGAAATTTAGAAAATAAATAGTAAGTCCATAATTTTTGTGAAACTAGAAGCAAAAATACAGTAAATCCCAATAAGTAGCAAATAAGCAGTAAGTGACGTGGAGTTACTGTTATTTCGCTTATTTTCAAAACATTTTAAACAGTAACTAAAAACACAGTATCTCCGTATTTACTATTTGATAATATATTGGTGTATAAATTATATTTTGTGGTCACAACCACAGTTTCAGATTTATATTAAAGATATATCAATCGTGGTCACACAGCTGATATGTTCATTATCAATTTGATGGAATACTAAATTATTAACAAATATTCTATTTTTAGGCTATGTTATCATAGATTAGTAAATTATTGTTGTTGTTGTTACAAAATTCAAATGCATCACTGAATAATTATAACTTTGTTAATGTAATATCGTTGACTCTTTGTAGATTTTTGAATTTAGTAAAAGTATAAATTAAATAAACTTGTTGTTTATGATGAACAACGATTTAATTAGATTAAATGAACAGCTAGAAGAGGATAGAAAAACTATATTGGTTGTGAGTATTTAAAAACAGTTTTGTTGATACTATATATAATTTTTATATATTTTAATAATTAACTAAATGTCTACTTAATTGTTAAAGGGATTAGAAGAACTTGTCGATGACATTGACAATAGATCTATGGGAACAAACAGTATTTGTAGTTTATATGAGTTTGGTAAAATAAGCAGTGAAGATGAACTTAAGAGTTATGACAGTGATCCTGATATAATTTATCCTCTACAAGAAGTTGAACAGGTAAACAATATTGCACTGTAAATAAAATAATACTTTGATCTATAATTATAAACGATAAACGTTCAATATTTTGAGCGTGTGCTCCATTCATTGGATTTACAAAGTTATATATTTGTGATTTACCTTTACATTTTTTGTTAAAATAAATTTTAAACAGTATAAATTACGATTATATTATAGATATTTTCGTCTCTATAGTCTCTTCCGAAAAGTAAGTAATATAAATATTAAATATCATATAATTGTGATTGAATTACCGATCAATCAATGGTTAAACCCGCCAAAGTGCCTGGTCATATTTAAATATGATTATATTAGAAAGTCTTAATCCTCATAAAGGCGAAAGTCGAAGCGAGGATGTTAAGCTGATTTTTAATAATTAAAAATATTCTACACATTTAATATGTGATTTATTTAACACACTAAATTTGATTTCTTTATTTTTAATTTTTTTTATACTAAAAATATTTTTATGTATAGAAACTCACAGGTTAAACACACCCTTTATTATAATCTTTTAATTTATATTTTTTATTAGTGTATTTGAAAATGAGTGTAAGTTATAACTATTTTTTATAAATATGTATGTAAACGAATCATATGATTGTTTGCAAATCAGCTGAATTTTAGATACACCATACGAGTATATGGGCGCTTAAGATAAATGTAGCAATCATCAAGCTATGATCGTTTTTTGAACAACGAGCATGGAAATAACTATATTACAAATTACGAATAATTTAATCATATAACTCATCACTGATGAAGAAAAGATCGTTAAATCTCAATTAACTCAATGCTGAGTAATCATAATAGCTAAATTCGAATTAGTTTCATACGCAAAAAAGCAAACACACTTCACACATTTTGTAATGATCACATTGCAGTTACATGTATTAAAAATTTGAACGCTTATTGCTATATTAATGATGTTATATACCTATACATTTAAACATGACAATGTGAATGAAAAAAATAATAAGTTAATTTATTATATTCTATAATTATAAACTTATAATTTTAACAATTTTAACATTTTAACACTCAAAATCATATATATATAATATTATAGTATATTATGGGTTAGAATATAATAGTGATTTTTAAAATATAAAACATTTGTGTCACTTATTGATTCGTCAATCGATTTTTGTAATTTTTAACTAATATTACACGTGTTCAGTTTCACCAAAATATTATTTTACACTCTAAATGAAAGAATTACATCAAAGCGTGTACATCGATGTGTTATATTCTTTTTATTTACAAAATCTCAAGCCACCAGTTTCCCCGAGTATTTTACTCGTGATTTAAACCCGTTCTGATTATAATAAACTGCAAATCGCAGATAATATTCCCACATAAAATACACACTGACCTTAGTAACTGTTAGTGTACGGTGTGTGCTGCACTACAGTTAACAAACTCGGGAAGTAGACGTACATATTCATGCTACATCATTTTTGTGCGTAAAAATCGAAATAAACTGTGTCATTCAAAATGTCATCATTCTTCCTTATCGTGTCATAATAAATAAACGGTATGAGAACAGATTGATTTTTTTTTATGTGAACCAATCTATATTAGTTATTTCTAGAAGGAAAAAAATAATCATGACTTGTGATTTATTTATTTATTAAAAACTATTTAATTTTCTATCACGCATATCATTAATTATTACAAAAAGTGATTCACCAAGACGTATGCTCGCTCTTCTTTTATTATTTTAAAATTAATTTATTCATAATGTGATTTTTGAAATGTTTGTGTTATAAATAGAATTAAAAAAAAATATTGATATTAGTTTTTAAATATTTTAAACACGTTAGAATTATTTTCAAATAATTTACCATGATTATACCAAACATTATAACCAAACAGAATTTATTTACTTAAACTAATTAAAACTATAATTATCTATTTAAACTAATAACTATTGTATTTTTTTTAAATATAATTTACCTGGTATAAAAGAGAGGCATATGAAATACGTTAAAATGTTTATTCCTCGGAAATCGAATTTCATTTTTAATATTGTTATGTTCTAATGGTATTATCACTGAATCCATTTATCGAACGTCAAAAATGAAAAAAAAATCCCAATAACTTTGGTTTTTCGGATGACATCCTTATTGAATATATTTATGATCACCTAAGTCACAAAATAATAAAATCAATAAAAATAATAATATTAGCATTATTAAATATTAAAATATCATATGACGACCAATAATTAATAACGTCAATATATAGTTAGTGGTACTTGACGTTAAAAGAAAAACAGCTCATTGTACATCGATTAAACGATAAATATAATATTAAAATAAATTTCAAAAAAGAAAAAGAAAAATGTACGCATATATATATATGTATATAAAACAACGTTTACCTGTCAATAAATATTGCGATATAAGCTGTCACAGTTAAACCCTGTTCGAAACGGATGGAACAACAAACACGAAACTAACAAGACGTATACTATAAAATAATAATATTACTATTTAACGCGGTATTAAACGTGTAGAACAGACACTGTTCGTACTATAAATAATATTATTATTAATTATTTTACGCATCAAACCAAACGCGGATATTCAAATTCGACCGACATAATGAGACGCGGCGAAACGTTTTGTGACTAAACCGCGCGGCGGGTGACAAAAATTATGAACGAAATTTACGGAAAAAATTCGCGAAAAAAATTCACAACTACACCGATTGTAAGATAATTAATCGGGAAAATTCGGTTCCGTCGATAGATATTTAATGGCATAAATTGATCCAATAATATACGCGTTTAGTACGTTTTATTTTCGTTCTCGTCTGAGCGCGCGCTCGTGGTCCGCCGTGGATGAATGTCAAACCGTTTGTAAGAGCGAAAAAAAATACTATACCATCGCGTGGTATCGCGTGACCGGCACATGGACGCGTGGACGTTAACCGTCTAGTGGGCTTCTGGTCGTACGCGCGCTCCAGCGACAACAGGTCTCGGTCAAAGAGTTCCGTGCACTTGAACGCTAATCTCGTGGGAATATAGGGCGATTCACCGATCATGTTCACCCCCATTTTTTCTTCAACAATGCAGTTCTTCAAAATCTGGTTTTTGGAATTATCGAATGTGCCTAAATACCATATTTTACAAACCTCTATTTTTCAAATGAGTATCCCCACCCCCACCTCGTTTTCAAGTATAAATCATTTAGCAGATAATTTTTCTGAAAGTTTTAACGTATCGATATCAAAATTTGAACGAATAGTTTTTGAGTCATTTATCTTTGTGTTCTAATAAGTTCTTACGGTAATGGATTTAATTTGACAGATATGGAGGCTATGAGATTTGAAAAGTTAAGTAATTTGTATTCATCTATCAATAGTTATTAACATTTTTAAAAACAATCCAATTATTATAAACACTGGAATATTATATCCAATTTTATATTTTTTTTTTTATTTTACAATTTTCTAAATGTTATATTAATCTTAGTATAAACATTTTAATAAATTAAAACTATCCGTTTGAATTTTGAAACAAGTACATCAGACGTTGAAAAATAAATATATTCACTGAATAATTTAGAAAAAAAAATGAGTTGTAATTTTAAAAAAAAAACATAGGTTTATATTGTATTAGAACACTCTTTAAGAAGATAATACGAACAATCTCAAGAATTTGAAAATATGGTCATAATTTTAAAATTAAAAAAAATCAGAATTAGCATAAATTGATTATCAAATGAAAAATAAAGGTATGCATGCTGGTGAATCACTCTGTATACTGTATTATTATACACAGAATGGTTCACCAAGCACGCTCATATTCAATTGTATCCTACAATAATAATATATTATTTATTCAAATATTTCAAATTCTAAAGTACTTAAAAACCATAACATTGATTTAGAAATTCGGATTTTTATAACGTTTTAAAAGTTTTCATCTATTTAACGATACAAACTTCTTTTTTTTGTTCAAACAAAGACTGTTTATTTTACCATACATTTTGAATGATTGAATTTTGATATATCGAACTTTGTTTAGTATAATAGATATAATTTTTAGTCTTGTAGCAAAAGGCATTTGTATCGATAAGTGATGATAAACATCTATACCTATTTATTAAATGGCACTAACTATTTAACTATATATTTGGTTTTTAAGTATAAACTTGATAATATTTTAAAAGTCAGATTTTTAATAATTTCATCATTAAAGGAAACACAATGGTTGAACTTTCTTGTTGAATCACTCTGTATAATCGCAGTAGTACTCGTTTCCAATTATTTTCTTTCAGCAGATTATTAATGTATAAAAATAATTAAAAAATTACTATCTAAAACAATAATTAAAAGCCAGATTCTTTTATTTGATTATTATACATTTATATTTTTTGAGATTTTTATCCAAGGAAAAATCTATACTTAAAATTTTTATGGTTTTCGTGTTCTTTTGCGTGGTGAAACCATAATAATTAATCCTTTCATTATTTTTTGTTATTATTGTTAAGGTTGTTCGTTATTGATTAAGGGGCAAAAATACAGACAATTTCTAATTATAATATATGGTGGCTATATACAATTGGTTATTTGGAAAATAAAATCGAACCATTTCAATGTCCAAAAACGTTATTGGTTTAAAAACAATCACGTCGTATAATAAAAAGATTTTTATAATTTTTTTTTTTTTTTTTTTTGAAAAAGAAATTTGGGTTGCATTGGACTACAATTTTTAATCAACACTCATTAATGTCATAAAAATAAATTTAAATTATTGAACAATTAGTGATATACGAATATTTATTACATGATCTAAAAATAGATATTTTTATATCACGGTGTATACGTACTAAGTGTTCATCTTCAAAAAAAAAAAAAAAAAATGATTAAAATTTGTATTTTACATGGTGAGAAACTTTTTCCTGTGAAACAAATTTTTATACTAAAAGCACTTTAAAACCAATTAACGCCTACATATTCCAAGTATGAGTATATTATCATTAAATGTATTCGACAAAAATAAAACTACTTTATTCAAAGTATTTGTTTTGTTTCAATCGATTTGCGAAGCACAAATTATGATCATTAAAGTTACATATTAAAAATTATTAATAATGATATTAAAATACGTATAAAATGTATTTTAAATGTAACAAAATATATTTGTTGTACAAAAAAAAATTATAAATTCGACCAAGTTCTGTTTTAATATTTATTATAGTATAATTTTAAATAAATACAATTTATTTATACTCTATGTTATTTTATAGAGTGTCTCAGACTTAACATATATTTATCATTTTAAGATAAATTTCAAAATTGAGATATAAATAATTTGTTATGACATGCGCTTTAGTTTATAAATTATAGCGCATCAGTTAACTTAAATAATATTATTTTTCGATAAATATTAAATATATCGTAGTAATACAATGATATCCTAAGAAATCAAATCTAATAATAATTGTTGCATTCTAGCTAATTTTTACAATATGAGATAATAAAAACTATAAATATAATAAAATTGATTAAAAAAAAATAATAATATCATTAGGCAAGTCTATCTGTATAATTTTTTTTGTAAATTTTTGCTTATGAATTTTTCGTTTACAAATAAGTTCGTTCTATCCATCGAATTGGCAAAAATTATCTGAATCATCGTATGCAACGTAAAATGTCCCTCTTACCCTAAAACATACAATATACATTAATATTTAAAATTTACTAATAATATTTGATCAATAATTTAATATTTATCGTTATTTGAGTCAATCGACTGATGACAATATTCAATATTGTGAATAAAAAATAAGTAAATACAATTTCTAAAAAATAATAGTTTTAATATAAGTAGGTACAAGTGTATATTGTATATGTTATTACAGCCAGACATAAGTATCAACTATTGAAATTGAACTATAATATTTAATCATCATTTTAGTTTTTAATTAATTCAAAGTTACAAGTAACTATTTAATTGTCTGGAAAAAAATATAAAAATAATCCATAATATCAATTGTTTGATTTACTTTCAGATACAAATTCGTAAAAATGAAAAATGGAAATACCAGTTGTGAAAAAGAAAACCCTAGTTTGTATATTCATTATTCATATTGTATGGTAAATTATATTCACTAGTTACAATCTAAAATATGAAAATAATAATATACATCCGTAAGTTTGTATTTACTATATATACGCATTAATAATTATCATAATACGAGTACATCGTCCAGTAAGCATATATTGTAAAGAATGATTTCCAAGCACGGTCAACCCAATTTTTACTTTAATAGTACATTTATAATAATTCGATTTCTTTGTCATTTTTGGAGTGTAGGTACACCGTGTTAATACAAACTTCATTTTTTCAAACTAGAACTGTGCTTTTATGTTGTAAATTGTGAAGCATACGATTTACTAGAAAATTTTGACGTATACAAATCAAAATTCAAACGAGTAGTTTCTGTGCTATTAACTTTATTTAGATACTAAGGATAATTGTGATATGATAATGAATTAAATATATATCGGTAGTAACATAACTAATTAATATTAGTTAATTCAAATTGCTTAAATTGTAAATGTTGTCCAAGTTTAATAATTATTAAACTAAAATATACTAAATCAATTGTATTTCAAATATAAAATCATTAATATAATGACTACCACTAACTTTATTAGTAGACAATGTTTAAAAAATCATCAATTAACCGTTTGAAGTTTGATTTATTGGATCAATTTTTTTTTTTTTTTTTTTAACGAGTGTTTAATAAAAGTGTATAATAAATAATGGTGTAATGGTATTGCTCATTTGAAAAAATGAATTTTTTAACATTTCAGGACACTTCTTGATAATTATTGACATAAATAATCTAAGAATTTAGCTTGTAGTGTATAACGAAATTTTAATAATCACCATTTAAATTAATTAATATTTAAGAATAAAAGAAAGGTGAGTGTTGTTGGGAAATTACTCTATGTAATAGTACTTAAAAGTTAAAATATATTTCTACATCCGTAAACATTTATTTGATTGTTCTTTTCCGAACACGAAAGTGTCATTTTGATTGATTTTAAATAACTTTTTAATATTTTAATTTATTGAAAAAAGTGGAATTATTTATTATTTGATTCTAATTATATATTTAGTTATTAGCATCATAATTACAGGTTTAATTGAATTGACATTACTTGACAGACAAATATTATGATTATTAATTTAAAATAAATTATTAAAGTAGGTATTCTGAGTTTAAAATAATTAAGTAGGTCAGTAATAAATTTGAATACTAATAATGATTGAAAGTTATAGATAAAGTGTGATTAATTCTATAATGTAGAGCATGTGAGATTTTTTCAAATATTTTAAGCTATTAAATAGATAATACCATATTACAACTTAAGCGTGAAAAAAATATTAGTATCCGTTTAATATATGAATAATCATGTACAATAAGCAAGACTAAACCAAATAAATTTGTTACAAACGTGCAAGACATTTGAACACTATCTACAAGAAAATAAACATTTAATTTTTTAAATTATTATTTTTTCTTTTTTCCCTATTTAGCCTATTTATCTTTTTAATCTTATGGTTCGTATGCGCATTGTCTACACGCTCTGATTGTCTAATACGACAATATTTTAATAGTTTATTTATTATTGTATAAATTATATATTTAATGTTAAATACTTATTATATTATATACTTTTTCGTTAATATTTTTTTACATTAATTTGTATAGTTAAGAAAAAATAGTTTTCTAAGAAGAAGATACATTTTTACTTTTTTTAACAACATCATGCATTTTTTAATTTTTTATTCCAAACTAAAATATTTTTTGAAATACTTAAATGTATAAAAATATAATTTTGAACGAATAGTTTATGAGTTATAACTTGTAAGTATTTAATATTTCTATTATAGTAAGTTATTTATAGTAGTAATATTTAATAAGCTACCTATATTTGTCCGAAATTTGATTTTGATATTCTGATTATTATTTTAGATTTTAATATGAAATTAATAATGTATAATATTGTCATTAAAAAACTAAAACAATTAAAAAAATTAATACGATTAAATATTTATATTTATAAAAAAAATAGACTTTATAATCTATATACTATGTACAATAAGTAAATTTAATGAGAGAGTATTGGCAATGAATGACTTTTTCAAAAAATGTTGTTTTATAACAATTTTAAATTATATAAAAAAATATTTCCAAAACATTAGGTTTTCTGAAATAATGAGTATCTTACATTAAATGAATCACTCTGTATATTTTAAGCGATTACTCTCGAGTTTCACATCATCATAATATTTTAGTATATTATATTATAATGTCGTGTTTACTAGTTTTGTTCAAACAAAAAAAAACGAATGTCTTGAATTAAATGTACAAAAATACTCTATATTTAACGCTACAATTAGCCCAAATAATATTATAATTGACAGATAACGTTTTATATTGAATGAAATACGTATATTTAATTATTTTTAAATGTGTCTATGATTTATTGATGATTAAATTTTATAAAAATTATTTTTACAACTCTTGAAGTTTATTAATTTTAGTAATAATAATATGCAGTTCATTGAATAATTTGTTAATAATAAATTTATTATGATGACATTTGATACTGCATACCGATATTGGTAAATTCAATAAATGTACCTATGATTATTGAAATTTACATGTCTTCAATATTAATGAACATAAATGTTTTATATTTATTAATAATAAAAAATTATCTCCAAGTAATTAACAATTGTAGTTTTTTATCCAACACTGCTTGAGGTACGTATATAGTATATACATTAATTTAAAATATCGTTATTGTAAAAAAATATTATATGATGTCCTACCTCAAATGCAACTTTAATAACAATTAAAAGCAAATATAAATTTAAAACACTCCTAAAATTTACCATTCTGGCGTTTGTATGCCCATAGGTATGACATCGATTCTGTTCGAAAATGTCGGGAGCACCACCGAGTCGCAGGTCTCTGTGCATTGTACGCCCAAAAACATGTTACGCCTTTTCGAAAGTGACAACGCAAAATAACATACGCTCTTGAAATGACTGCACCGCGATTGTCCTGAATACACATTCATCAAAAAATAGTGTCATTAATCATTATTGATGTACGGGCAACGATTCGAATTTGGTCACGATCGTAAAATACTATTGTCATAATACATATCGAACAAATATTATATTACTCTAAAAGTTCAATAATATTTGTTTAAAGTAATTTGGACAGTGCGCGGGTAAATAGAAATAAGTAAAAATTAATACTTTCCGGTAAACGGAAAGCGCGCTGCTGTAAGGGGTTTTTCATTATCTGTAGTTAATTTAAAATATAAAACAATCGTTTATAATCGGTCTACGTTTCTTTGTTCGTAATCTATAGACTCCTATGACTATTTGTTATATTTTTACTTATTATGAAATAAGTATTTATAATTTTTAATTTTTGAGACATCATAGGTACCTATATAATATATACTTGCACATTTTGTATGAACGCATACGAATGTTCGATGTGTATCGTAGGTACATATCAGGAACAAAAACAAAATATACTTCACGGTCAGTTACTATATGAAAATACTCTTTCATACGGTCTTATGATTTACACAAAAGCAGTTTTTTACAGTGAATTTAATACAATTCTTAATCTTATAATTATGTTTCGACGATCTGTTCAGTGTCTAATACTACCTACAAGAATACTGGTGTTATTCCACATGTGTCGTATTATGCTTATTATAAAGATCTGTATCGTCCGCGTGTAGCTCAGCAGCCATTAGAGATACCCAGCGCGTTTGTGCATGAAAAAAAAAATTAATAGCCTCCGCGTTATAATCTCTACGACTTCACAATTACAAAAATAATAACGAAAAAGATAAATGTAAGTATTTGTCTTTCTTTAATACGTTTAATTATTTGTTATTACCACAAAAGTAATGTTTGTAGCACTTAAGGCTTGTAGCTGTGTAACGTTTCCATTGTTCTTTCGCGTCGTTCATCGAATCGTACGAAACACTCATAGCTTAAAGGTAAACACTACATTTTCTATGAAAAATGGACAAATTAATGAAAAAAAAAGGTAGTTAAATGGGTATCGCTCTGTTGTTTATAAGGTGTCAAGAGGGTCACTATTATAGATGTATTAAATTTGAATTCAATGATATTATATTGATACATTATTCTATACGAAAAACGATTCTGAGCGGAAATGATCTACCAACATATATCACCAAGTAATATGTGTTAGCATTGAAGTAATTTATTTTACTTTCAGTGTTATGGTAGGTTGACATAATTTTTTCCGAAAACATTGCATTTGTTATATTGTTAATATTTGATTATTATAATAATATATATTTATACCATATTTTATCAACTTATACAACTCACAATTTAATAATATTTTTTTATAAATACTGCAAAACAGTAAAAATAGATTCATAGTACTTATATATAGATAATATTATAAAATAAATCAAAAATGTTATTGCGTTTAGTAAAATTTACAATAATTTGAAATATATTAGGAACAATCTAACGATATTTGGAACATTAGAACTTAATATTAATGACCTTTAATATTATTATTAGTCACTTGACATTGCGTTTGTTTGGAAATGCAAACAATTACAAACAAAAAGTGCACATTTTTAAATTTTTTGAAATATCTAAAAAAAAATGGACACCAAAACAATTATTGTTTTAGTAATAACTGGTTTGTTATACATTTTTATTTAAAATTTATGATTAAAAACAAAAGCATACGTAATATTTTAGTAAACCGATTGTACAAGATCTAAATCAGTTTTCGAATTTATGATTTAATATGGACCATACTAAGCATATTATTATATTATAAGCCTTCGGATAATTATTCGAAAGAATCAAGATGTGTATCCAATGGCTGTTACAATTTTCCTGTCAATTTTACATACTATTATAATTTTTACTTTTTTTTTTTTATTCCTGTAATTGATTACAATGTTTCTCATGTGCATTTTATTGTATATTAGCTTTAATAGTGTGGGGGGGAGGTACAGGGCAACAGTGTACACTCACTTCTCTGGTTTTTTTTAGCGTATACTCTCTAAATGTACGATGATACGAGAGTAACATAATGGCAGTATGGCCTCGTAGACTTAGTTTAATTTTCAATGACAAAAACAATATTTTCTATAATTATTTTTAATTTTTAATTATCTTATGGTTTTTATTAAGTAATTAGTTAATTATGAAAAAAAAATTTAAGAACCAGTGACCTTTTATACACCTTTACCATATGGGTGTATTAAATTTTATGTAATTTTTAAAAATGTTTCATAAATACGCGGCTCCAATTCTCTCTATTAGAATGCTTTCTTTTTCAAAAAAGTAAATACTACAATAAATATTCAATTTTATGTTATGTGTGAAACGATAAATGTATTCAATTCACAATTATTTGTATTTTTTCTGTCACTATTCACCTTTTGAAACAGTAAAAATGCTTAAATTTTCAATTTGGTTTTAGTAGAAAATTGAATCTAATGGGTACTTTGGATAGTTAAAAGAAAAAATTAAAGAAAAACGAAAATTTTCACACTTAATGAGTTTTTGAAAAAATTATTATTCTTTACTTTGTTGTAACTCAGAAGCAATTAATAACTATAGAAATTTTAAATTTTCACCAAATACTTTTATTATAATTTAAAAAATATTTTAACTGTTTTTAAGTACGTAATTTATAGGTATTAGGATTTTATGATTCATTTTTTTAGTTTTTTTTTTCTATAAATGTCAATAAAAAATTATTTGCTGAGTAAAAATTATTAAAAGTTTAATACAATATCCCACAAAAGTTATTCTTTTATTTTTTAAAAATAAATTGGCATAATTTTATTTATATTTTATATGCACTTAAAGTTCAAATTTTGACATAATTTGTCAAAACCACGAACATTTATAAACTACAAGTATTTATAGGTACTAAAAAATTGTAAAAAAAAAAATGTAAATTATTTTTAAGACACCATCTACCTATTATTAGTTTAACCTAATCACTCTATTTTACTGTATTTACAGTAAGGTATTATGAACTCAAAACTTCATAACAATGTTAAATGGTATAAATATATATTATTATATTAATTAAATACTATTAATATAATAAATACAATGTTTTTAGAAAAAATTTAATCAACCTACCATGATACTAATAAGTAAAAATAAAATAAAAATTACTTTAATAGCTTTATTAAAAAACAAATCATGAAATATTCTTACTGACATACAGGCTGTTGGATCATCTTCACTTGTAATCGTATTTTTTTTATACAATGATATTTCATTGAATTCAAATTTAACATACTCATTACAGTAATACACTCAATACCTAATGTACAGCAGACTGATACCTACTTGCATACCTTTTTTTTCTAATTTATATGTGTGGATTTCCTAACTGTCACGATATCAGATACCTGTGTGAAAAGGCGCATAGACGCATAGTGTATGCCCACGATTATGTTTAGCAATAGACAATGTATCACTAGTAAGCCTAATAAAGTTTTGTTAACTGATATAAAAATGTATATTTTACGTATGATATTTGATTGTCTAGAGCAAACCGGTTGCATTCGACCTCCGTTGACGCTAAAATCGACGTGCCCTATCTGAGGATATTCTCCGTAAACTCCAGAGTTTGTGTGTATAACCTCTACGAAATTAGCATCATCCTTCGTCAATCGAAATTCGTCCATCGTAAACAAATCTACAAGAGGTTTGGCTGGATCTAAACCTGTAACATAATAGTATACGTATTTAATACATTTTTTTTAAAATATAAGTTTTCCTTAAACCATTTTATACTATACAGTATACATGCAACCATGTAATATGTGTTGCGTCTCATACTCAATAATCAACTTCTTCACTTGCTTGAAAACCTAACCAAAAATCAAGTACTTAAGTAATGGATGGCCGGTAAGGTGAGATATCAAATATTATTCTTTGGTTCTTATAAATTATAATACCTATAAGAATAATCCAATTTAGATATTGGGAAGCTACATTGAATTAATGAATTATAAATACGTATGTATAACAAGCATAATTTTTTTGTGTGTCTTCCGTTACCTTTTGAAGAAGTAAAAATGTAATTTTCCAACTTTGAGGATGGTTCCTAATTAAAAATTTAATCTAGTTGCTGCTTTTAAGTATAATATGTCCAGTAGATACTTTTAAAAAATATCTGGAAAGACAAGTTTTTACATAAACCCAATTTTTGACAAAAATTTATTTTAAATTTTTTATTGTAATTAATACTACTAAATATTTATATGAATATCTTTTAGAAATTGTATAGTTTTAAGAATTTTTTGGCTATTTTTGAACTATTTATAGATCCTTAAATATTATTGAATGTAAGTAATTTATTTTTAACAAAAGTAGTTCAAACTCCCATATTATATTAGTGTAGTACTTATAAAAAAATAAAACACTAATTTGCAATACGAGTATAAATATATAATAAAATAGGAAATATAAATAGACCGTCTCCGCTCAGATTTATTTTTCGTATGCAATAATTTATCATCAAATTAAAATTCAACACATCCGTTACAGTGACCTATTCAATGACAAGGTATGCTTGACAACTAATATTCAACTTCTCCGGATTCTCAACATCTTAATTCGATACGAATAAATAATATTTTTTTTTCCAATTATAAAGTTAAACGAAATTTTAGTGATAAATAAAAATGGTGCATTTAAGTACTTGCCTTTCAGAGCCAATTGTTCGTAAATAATAACAAATTATAATATATATATATATATTGAGCGAGTAAATTGCAGGATGTCAATCACGATGGTTATGCCTATTGCTTAACATGGTTGAAACTTGGAAAATTCAATACCTACAATCTACTTCTGCTGATTGTTATTTTCCAGTTAACGCATATTAGGGTCAGTAGAAATGCAGTTTTATAATTTCCTAAGACTAATAGAGTACAATTTTAATTATGAATAATAATTTTTTAATTTTGTATAGATTATATTATTATTATAGTTTAAAGTTGTATGCAGTTCTATACAAATATTATTTAGGTACTATGAACATTAAACAAGTAATTATTGAGTTTGGGCTTATATAAAATCAATTTAATAGGTTTCGGATTAACATAAGATTTTTGAGTCAAACTCAAGTGAATAAAACAATATACGAATTTTTTCGATCATAATATAATTGTTAAATACGAGTGTCGAAGGAACGGTTTTCAAAAACAACTACGAAAGTAGGTGGTACTCACAAGTAAATAGTGACAATAATTACTTAATTTTACCGTACGTAAAATTAGCACAAATCACAAGTGTTCAAATGGTGCTAAAATAGGGGTAGTGTGTATTAACTCCCTAATTTATAGAGTAAGCATCCCAAACCACTAGACAGTCATAGACGATAATTTTTAACTATTTTAGATATTTGTTACAAACATTTTTTTTTTTTTTTTGGTACTATAGAGTCAGCGTTCTAAACGGTTTGCAAATATGAATGTTCCAACAGATGATTTATTTTTACTGTCAACAATCTTTATTCCCCAATGCAGTGGTTCCGACTAGATTTTTATATATGTACACTCCTTGGAATAAATTAAAAGCTATTTCAATCCAATCTAACCAAATATTACCATCGTCGTATACTCACCGATGATCTTGTGCTGTCTCTCTGTCAAGTGATTGCTAATCATGCCGCATATATGAGCCCCAAGACTGTGACCAACGCAATGTATGTGATAAACGGAAGCGCCAGAATAAGTGAGATGGGCGTACAGTTGAGCGGTGCACTGACTCACTAATCGCGTGTTTTTCAGTGACGACAAGTAACAAGGGTAGATGGTCAACGGACTCCAGTCCACCATGAACACGTTAAAGTCTCCACGCATCAAGTAGGCTGCGTGTCAAATTTACCGCAATAATAACGATAGTTATATTATAAAATTGATTTGATCATTACAATTATTAATAATAACTTTGTGTGTATGTATATTATTGATTTTTTCATTAACGTAACAAATAATATTATATTACTACTACCTACTTATAATAATCATAATAATATAACTCGACAGGTTAATATGAGACGTTATTATAATACATTAAAGTATAAGAGTGCGACTGTATAGACAGTTACGCTTAATGTAACCACTACCTAGCTTATAAAATCAATGGTTTATTGGAATCAAAAAATTAAAACCTGAAGCATATTAGATAACTGTTATATTATTGATTTTTCAATATTTTATTAAAAAATGTAGAAACACTTTAAATACCGGATAATTGAATCACTTTTGCTAACAATTTTATGTCTTTAAATTTAAATATTTCAATTGAATTAAGTATTTACTATGTATAGCTATGTATAGTAGATACTTAAAAATAATTGTAATTTAAATCTAAGCTGTTTAATTACCATAGACATAACTACTCATATAATTTTATATTAACATAAAAATAAATTACAGATTTATGCCACAATCAAATACAATTACTGCCTACATTGATAGTTGAATATTACTGAAGTTTTTTTTTTCAATAACATGTATAACATGTTTTATTTTTATTAAAGCACACGCATAGTAATAACGAATAGATCAATATCATTGTTTTATAGAATTAACCAGTTGATAGGATCAAAAGTGATTACTATGTATAATAGTTACTCTAACTATGTATAAAAGTTATACTGCTTATATCTGTTGTAGGATATTAATAAAATTATCTAATTTAAAACGAATATATATATATATTAACTATACTATAATCGAAACAGCTAGTATGTATAATAATATTAAATTACTTTAAACAATGGAAGAAACTGTTGAAGTCGTAAACCCAAACATAATTGGTATATTTAATAATCGTCAATCGCAGTAAATTATTTATAATATCATATAACTGCGTATTATAAAATATATATCGTAGAATATTATATATATAATTTAATTTTTATATAATAAAATATAAATTATATTAGTGTCATCTTGCACGAGGTTAAATAAAAATATTACCGTTTCTTAGTATGACCATGAGCTTATCATTTTCCGATCCATTAAATCCGTGTATGACGATAACGTTCTTTTTCTTGGGGTTCCAACCACTATTGTACAACGGCCACTTGTTTCTCATATCGATTTTAATTCTTCTTCTGAGATTACTATTTATAAACACATATAATAAGAATACATATATAATTTTATACAAACCGACAAACTATAAATGAAACGTTTGCACTCAGATGCACGATATGCCACCGATACACGTTTATTCTATCGTTCGTGTGCTGCGATACAGTACGCGAGTTTCAATTATATTAAAATTTAAAAATTTTTAAAAAACACCTTGAGTACAAATAAAACGTCACGTCGGGATCTGGACACTGAAACGTTTGTTTGAATTTGCACCTCCAATAAGTTAGATCATTAGAACCAAAAAATATGCCTGAAACTGTTTTTTCAATAAATTATTGGTGTTGTAAGTAAAGTATGTTCACAAAAGAATACTACAATTTTAAAAATCCGCAATCTCAAAACTTAACCACATAGAGCGTGCTTCTATCTACCGTTGTGAAAAATAAGCTCAACATTTTTGTTAGTTATCAAAAAAGTGCCCATCAATTTTATCAATAAGAGTTGTTATTTCGGTTCGTAACGTCACGTCGCCATGGTTTTTCCACAGTTAAAATCGTTTTGGGTTTTTAAATTCGGTAAATCCAAATCGGCAACTGCCGTACAACGCGCGTTCCGAACTAAGTATGGAATCCGATTTCCTGGCAGGAAACAGGAAATATATTATACGAGCGGTCGCATGTCTCACGAGAAAACGTCGTTATGACCCCCAGTGAATTTTTTCTTTGTGGGTGCAATTTATTTACCATCCTTGCCGGTTAGCATTGAAGAACTAAAAATGCAAATCACAACAGTTATCCAAACAGTGACACTAGACATGTTACAAAATGCGTTCGACTATCGTATAGATGTTATTCAGGCTTCTTGGGGGAGACACATTGAAAACTTGTTATGTTAACGTGTATGAAAAAAAAATGTATTATATGTTCTATTAAATTGTAGGTAAAAATTGGCTTTAACTAATTTTGTACAATAAACAAGGATTTAAAATTGTGACATTATTTTGTGAACTGTGAACATACTGTATACCTAAATAAACTGAAAAAAACCTCAGAAAATTAATTTAGCGTGAATTTCGATTGAACAATGGAGTGTATTATTATTTATTTACTTTTAAGGTTAAACATTTATTGTGATATCCATTCATAACGAATTGAAGACGGTTTCGATTCAACTGGAATAAAATGGTATTATGAATATAATATTTATGTGGTGTGTTACATGTACCTAAGTGACTAAGTAGATAGTATGATAATAACCAATAAATACACACACACACACATCTACACACATATACACACATTCACACATGTGCGCGCGCGCCTGAGCACAAATAAATATATCCCAACAAGCACGTCATATAGTTAAAAAAAAATCGATACAATTCCTTGAATGTTTGGCAAATAGTAATTATTCGGGTTAATCTAATCAATTTGATTTGTTTAAACAATAATACACCGAGCCATGGAACAATTTAATGTATGTGTTTCATAAATAAACTAGGTAAAAGCGGTAAGTAATACCTAATTACACGAAACAACGATATAGGTACTACGGCGTTTCGTAAATTATTTATTTCAATACAATTACAATATTACTGCTAACGAAATTATCGATGTCGAGGAATATCAATGTTTTATATTAAAATATAATTAATAAAAAAAAATAATAATACCATTAAATGGACTCAGAACTTACTGGGTGGACGTTGTCGTTCAAAATATTGTTGAAGATATTATTTTTAAAGAAAACGTGATAATTTACAAAAGGTACTCAATGGATTAACAAGTCCAAAAAGAAGAAATCAAGAATATTATACAAAGCTATTAGTTGCAAAAAAAAATATTGTTGTTATAAAAGTATAGTTATACTAAGATAAAAATGTATCTAATTTCAAGCGTAAATAAATCAAGTTACCGTTATTAATGACTGAACACATCAATATTGAAATCACAACTTCAATTACCATGGACTTCTTCATCATAGTTCCCACTCGGCCTTTTATTATTTTCAATAAATATACTTTTTTTGTAAACCGTATAAATGATTGGTTATAATAACTGTAGTATCACTTAAAATCATGACAAGTACTAAAAATATACATGTATTTATATCATTATATAGGTAATTATACATCGAATTGAATTACTACAAAACTTAAATTAATAATCCATTTTATATAGGTACTACTAGATAAACTTGCAACAAATATTCATGGTTCGTGAAAATTTTTTAAATATATATTTGGGTAAATATTTTTTAATCTTTATAAAAATATATTAAACATTGAAAAATCCATATTTTTTAAAATAAAATCAACTATCACGCTGTTATACACATATTATATTATTATTAACTTATATTTTTTTTTTCTAATAATTACTAAATTTTGAATTTGATACATAATAAAAATTAAAAATTAATAAGTATTAAAAAATATTCTTGTAAAAATATAATATTATTTTAAGATATAAAACTTATAAAAATAATATTAATATTATCCATTTGACGTACTTTTGGGGAAAAAATAACATTATTAAAATACATTTTGGTATTAATAGAATTAAGAAGGTAGAAATTACGACATTCATAAAAGTAAGAGCAACACAAACAGCTCTGAACGTCTAAAAAAAACCCGTTCATACGGTGAAGCGATATAATATTCGAATTATACGAATGTCATGACCATGGGCCATAGATGTACGTATTAAAATCATTATATCAGTTATTTTATTGTTTTCTACCTCATGATGCAGAAGGTGTATTATGTCATAAATAATTGACTGTTAATATTTTAATAAGAATTAATTTCCTGAATATTTTGTTATTATAAACAAATATCTAGTGATGAACAACTAATTATATTATTAGAAATATTTTGAATGCGAAATCAAAAAGAAAAATGTTATAGGCACGTAGAAACAATAAAAAAATGTCGTTAATACATATTAACATCTTATTATAATAATTTATTTCAACTTCAAGTATAAAACCATTTGGTTGTTATAATTATTCAGTCAGATAATTAAAATAATCGCGAATATTTCTTTAAAATATCATTTTTAATTTGTTACTATTCAAAAATTAATAGTTTATATAATTTTATAATTGTATAGCCAATGAAGTGGGAAAACTTAATAGAATTTTTTATCTTATACATAGTTTACACGATGATTAGAAATATATATAACCTTGTTTTATATTTAATAAAAAATATATTATGTTTTTAATTTCAAATGATACAATAATTATTAATTAACTAAAAATAAAACTAAAGAAAGCGCAACTCCAACTCTAACTATTTTTTGCTTTTATTGGACAGTATAACTTAGATTATTTTCATATTTTTATTTTTACTTTTTCATATAAATTTATAATATTTCTTATATTTATATTTTTCAATCAATTATTTAATAAAATGCAATGTTTTATTCGAACATTTTGTCTGAAATATAATTTTAATAATAGGTAATAATTCTGTTATAAATAAAATAATATTAAAATTATACCAGTACCAAGTTACTACCAATTAGTATAAGATATTTGTAAACTAACTGATTAATTGTAAATCCTAAAATATACTCAGTTTAAGTCCAATCACATGTTAAAGAATTCTGGTATTTAAATTTAAAACCGATTGAACAAATAACAAAAGTTCCTTTCAAAATCACTTTTACAAAGACCCCTCGTTTTAAAGTAGCAGCATGGTACACTACAAACGTCTGCAATTTAATCGTATTACTCACCCAAATCGTGCACTAAATAAAAATCGATAAAATTTTAAAATATACCTGGTAACTTCCCCCCTCCTCATCCACAAAGCATTGTCTGCGTTTGCTTTTTTATCTCAATAATATCACATAAGAAAATAAAATATAAATAATCAAAACAAATGTTGTATGGTATTTTCATTTACCTGTAGACTATGGGTTATTTCTCCACGTGATATTACGTTATTTAAGAAGTATATCTATAATTTTTAACTATCAATTTTACTTAATATAAACTAATTACAGATTGTAATAATTGTAAATGAAGAAGAAAAATTGTATACTCACAAAAACGGACGCGATATAAACTTTTATACATCTCTTGTTCGTTTATGTATATTATTAAATGGGTGCCTACTCGACCCATAAAACTGCGTTGAAATATCAAAAGTTAATCTTCCGCGACAAGTGCAATGCGTATACACCTCGACGATGCAGTGCGTAACTGAATATTATGGATATCACAGCTGTCGGTCCTTTGCGCGATGCAGAATTGTTATAATAGTATTATATTCGAGTAAGACGCGTTTAATAAATATTTACAAATATCACATGAAAAAATATTACAAACCATGTAGTTTATTGTATCATTTTACTGTATCTCTATTTTCTATAAATATAACTATAGACTATTTGGCGACACCTTTCGACAAACATATAATTTCACTTACACTCGCACACGCATCATAATACAGTTAAACATATTTAAATTTATAACGAACAATTTGATATAATACATTTTTTATTACTTATTCTTATTGCTATGCCGGCGTACTGTATTGCTCATGGCGTATACAACAGTAAAATGCGAATATTCGCGTTTCTCGCGCGTTTACTTCAACTACTTCCCCCCTACAAACCCCACCCACATCCGAAGTCAGGTCGACAAAAAATATCCGCGAATTTATAAATGATAGCAACATTCAAATACGATTTGAAATTGTAGTAGTCTTTTGCTGTAAACGACACATTTGAACATTCATATTGTTATAGAGCATAGTCAAAACGCGTTTGTTTAAGAAACGTACAGAGTGATTCACAAAGCATGTTCACCCCTCTAGTACCAGTAAAAAATGTGGTTATTCGAATTCTGATTTCTAGAATTTTTAGTTTTAAAATTAGAATGAATAGCTTTTACGTGATTAAGGTTTATATACCAAGTATAATAATACTTAATTTTATAATAATTCTACATCAAATATTTCATCTGGTACAGTTATTATATGTATAGATCGTTTTTATTAATTATGAAATGCAAATACATTGTTGTTAATTAATATAATTTTAAAATCATCGTTATCACGTTTAATTGTTTTCAAATATCTTGTTAACAATTTATAGTAAAAAATATGATTCCCGTTTGAAAAAAAGAATTATCGCTACTAAAATACAGGTCACAAAATATAACTATAAATAATAAATATTTGAAAATAATAAAGTTTTTATGAATATTTAAGAATCCCGAATATTAAAATCGCAATAAATACAATATCAAAGTAAAAATGAGAGTGAGCATGCTTAGTGATTAATGAATCACACTGTATATTATGTACACACTACACACATATATAGGACATGGCCACACAGGATGCGCATCCCATCCGGTAAAACTAAACAACAGCAAGAAATGTGTTTATAATTGATCTTACGCTTTCAGATGGTAAGTACATATGATGGAGTAAGAATAGACACAATTGTTTATTTAAAATATCAACTAAATAACATATTAATAATAGGTACAATATCGTTTATTAATTACTGCAGTTATAAACATATTATACTATTATAAACTGGATAATATTAAGGTAGCCCAGATCGGTTACTCTTAATCGCGATGTTATAGTTATGAAATTCTAACTGCTATAAGTATATTATATACATATCGTCATGGCAGTTATATCGACATAAAATTTAAAATCCTTCCATTACTCCGTTGACGTCTGAATGTCTGATTGTTCAAAAATATGTATTTTGCACAGAAACTACTAAATATTTTATTAAACATTTACGTATCATACACAAAAAATACTCGAATCCTTTGTAATGAAGAACATTGTAGTGGTAAATATTCATGGAATCTTCAATCGAGAAATACGACGAGGATGTTATCACGTATTCGTGTCATCGAAAACTTAGAGGCTATGGAAACTGCGTGTATGTTAAATGTTATGATTGGGCTCATCGCCAAATAAGTATATCAACCAATAGGGTTTTAGAAGTGATAACAGTTAACAATCTAAATTTTTTCAATAGACGCCTCTGGTAAATACATGACAACAGCTATGTTCAACAAGCATTTATAAAATCGATGTTTATATTGTCCATATCGATAATATGGATTTATCGATGATATTATGAAAGAGAATATGATAAATTATTATGAAAAAATAAATCTACAAACCCGTCGCAAACCAATAATTTATTACTTCAGACTTCATGTTGTATAACTATACACTAGAGGTATCTATTTCACCTGTAGTTAAATTTACGGATACGTGTGAAACTAAACTTCACGTATGCAATCACATAAATTTATTTCACGCGAACCCGTAAATTTTATTATCAAATCATGCGTTTATTATTACATATCGAATTTATTTTATTATTAATACATTTAATATTTCCCGATCATTTTTTAGTTTCTACACATCAGGAATCGGTAATTAGTTATTTATTTTAAATAAAAAATCTCCACAGAAAACTAATATTTTAGATTCGGTTTATTTCGACAGTTGTCTATTACGAAATTTATTTACATTTAGATTTAAAACAACTAAAAAAATATTCGAATTTAATGAAAACACAATTTCATGAATAAAAAAGACAAAAATACACTAGTAAACTGTAACTGATGGGCTGATCGATTCGTATTGTTCTTAGAAATTTTCATGTCGCTGTTGTGTGCATAAAATATATATATTACTCCACCCGTCCCGCTTTTTTATAATAATACTGTTTATGAAACATTTATTTTTAAAATATTAAGTACAGATATTTTTAGTTTTTTACAGAAATTATTAACACATCTTTTTTAAATATTTTATTATAATTTAATAAAATAATAATAATATTATGTTTTAAATACGCGTGAAATTAATATCCATGATTTACTAATTAATTACATGTGAATTGAATTCACGGTTTTTCATATTAAAGACACGTGAATCTTAATTGGTGTTAAAATTCGATATCTTTATCATACACTCGTATGCGTATTCACACCCATTTATACTTGGGCATAAAAACATTGACAGAACTTGAAACGTCATACTTATGAAATTTTTAATCAAATATATCGAACGACTATTCAAGTTTAATAGTCACGAGCATTATTTGTTTATATATTCGTGAGGGTCCCAAATCAAAGCGTTTTGAATAGATCTTAAGATTTATTAAAATAGATTAATCATCGTAACTCGTAACCATATCATATATTCATATGCAACAATTCTTTTTGCACGTGTTGTCTGTTTATCCATATAAAACAATCATATACTGATATACTTTATAAGAAAAGAATGAAAGATCATAAATTAACCGGGATAAAAGAAAATAATGCATTTATTCATGATTTTGACTTCTCCGCACAATTTAATATTAATTTCAAAAGTTTTATAAAAGCAATAAGGACTTTTTTTTAATTCAGCAGCTCCTTTTTTTGTTTAAAATTTCTTAAGTGTTGAAAATGCGATTTTTTTCAATAATATTATTATAAAGAATAAACTCTATGCCACACTCTGCGGATATACGCTAATTAGCCATTTAGCTTAAGTAACACTGTTTTACCAATACTAATTTTCGGAGTTACTTTGTAAATAAGTTTTTAGATATTTTGTATTAATTGATCAATTAGAAATCAAGTTAACAATAATATATTATGTTAATTTAAATGTATTTTCTTTGTAATTTAAACAAAAAAAAAACATTGAAGTTTCGTCCTTTGCTAAATAGACTGATAATATATTAATTTGGTGTGTTGAAGGTAACTACATATGGTACCTATACACCGGGGCCACAACCTTCCCGCGTAATTGTACGACCAACGGAATTTGCAACTGATATACACTCTAACAAAAATAAAAGCGAATAGGTATTCTAATTATTATTTTCTGAAACAAAAAAAAAATGTACTATTCCCGTTTAATATAATAATATGATCATCCGAATCTAAATCTGCATCGTGTAGCTGCTGTAGTGTTCTATAGTAACCGACCGTGTTATAATAATATATTATTAAACTTTTAAATTTTCTTGCGAATTGCCATAAAAAAAATCTTTCTGCAGCATGTATTTAAATAACTAGAATAACAATATTTAATTTTTAAATAGATAACTTTTTTTACATTTTTTAATGTAAATTTTCGATTTTTCAGTTTTTGAATGAAAAATATTATCTTTCATAATATATCAATGTATAAAAGTCAAATATTGAAGAATTCAATTCTTATTTCTAAGATTTTAGTATAAATATATGACAATTGATCATTTATATATTTTTTTCAAAGAATCTATGTAAATCTAATACAATAAGAAGATTAAGATTGACTAGTAAAAGATTTTTCACTATACTTTCATGCTTGTCTAAACCTTAAAATTTGAATATCTACCAGTAAAGAAAATCATTTTTTGCGTATTAGAACATTTTGAATTAAAATTATGATTTATCATTACATTAATTTAATTTTCCTTCTTTTTTTTAGTAATAATACCATAAAATATAATGTACAAATTGTAAAGTCATATTTTTGTTTTTTAAAAACATAATCTCATTTATCTAAAACATAAGTGACAACATTAAAAAAAAACAATCTCAAATAATATTATATTTTATAATTGTATAATCATACGTGTTTAAAATTTTCAATTTATAGAAAAATCGATTTCCAAACGAGATTTATCGCGATGACCGGTCAAATTATTTCTGACACAAAACATTTAATGCGAATAAGTATTGAAAACATATATGATATTATATATATTATTAAACCATATAATAATAATTACTAATGGAGTTATATGGTATACGTGAGCGTCAAGCGAAACCGATAAAGTGATGCAGACTCCAGATAAATAGTTTAGTCTAGTATTTGATTTAGATTAAAATAAAACTGTATTCGAGTAAGTTTAATTACATTTTTTATAATTTTATCTAGATATAGATTAAGATAAACAAACTAATTTAGTTTTTTTATTAGGTGTACGCCTCGTTATTACACTAATATATACGAAAAATATTAATTTAACTTTCTTTTGTATTGTCTTAAACGATCCTGTTCCTGCGAGTCTATAAGAATAGTCGGGAACGCCAATTCTACCCAAGAAAATATTTGAGGTAAATCCAAAAATTTCAAACACTGTATTAAGTAGTTACATTAGATTACACAACAGCTATATATACATTTTATATACATTTAATATTTTTTATTATTGTATTATGCGGATACACATATCGTTGCGGTGTTTCTATAAGAATAACATATAAATATGTAATACATAAAATCATAACAACTATGTGTACAAATTTCAAAAGT